GGTGGTAGTGCATGCAACGAGGTAATCTAAATTACCTCTCTACTTGTCCCGTGTTGTCTATTCAAATGCCTCGGCTCGGATATAGACTCGTCTTTGTGATGAGTCTTTAAATAAAATTTGGAATGGTGGTAGTGCATGCAACGAGGTAATCTAAATTACCTCTCTACTTGTCCCGTGTTGTCTATTCAAATGCCTCGGCTCGGATATAGACTCGTCTTTGTGATGAGTCTTTAAATAAAATTTGGAATGGTGGTAGTGCATGCAACGAGGTAATCTAAATTACCTCTCTACTTGTCCCGTGTTGTCTATTCAAATGCCTCGGCTCGGATATAGACTCGTCTTTGTGATGAGTCTTTAAATAAAATTTGGAATGGTGGTAGTGCATGCAACGAGGTAATCTAAATTACCTCTCTACTTGTCCCGTGTTGTCTATTCAAATGCCTCGGCTCGGATATAGACTCGTCTTTGTGATGAGTCTTTAAATAAAATTTGGAATGGTGGTAGTGCATGCAACGAGGTAATCTAAATTACCTCTCTACTTGTCCCGTGTTGTCTATTCAAATGCCTCGGCTCGGATATAGACTCGTCTTTGTGATGAGTCTTTAAATAAAATTTGGAATGGTGGTAGTGCATGCAACGAGGTAATCTAAATTACCTCTCTACTTGTCCCGTGTTGTCTATTCAAATGCCTCGGCTCGGATATAGACTCGTCTTTGTGATGAGTCTTTAAATAAAATTTGGAATGGTGGTAGTGCATGCAACGAGGTAATCTAAATTACCTCTCTACTTGTCCCGTGTTGTCTATTCAAATGCCTCGGCTCGGATATAGACTCGTCTTTGTGATGAGTCTTTAAATAAAATTTGGAATGGTGGTAGTGCATGCAACGAGGTAATCTAAATTACCTCTCTACTTGTCCCGTGTTGTCTATTCAAATGCCTCGGCTCGGATATAGACTCGTCTTTGTGATGAGTCTTTAAATAAAATTTGGAATGGTGGTAGTGCATGCAACGAGGTAATCTAATTACCTCTCTACTTGTCCCGTGTTGTCTATTCAAATGCCTCGGCTCGGATATAGACTCGTCTTTGTGATGAGTCTTTAAATAAAATTTGGAATGGTGGTAGTGCATGCAACGAGGTAATCTAAATTACCTCTCTACTTGTCCCGTGTTGTCTATTCAAATGCCTCGGCTCGGATATAGACTCGTCTTTGTGATGAGTCTTTAAATAAAATTTGGAATGGTGGTAGTGCATGCAACGAGGTAATCTAAATTACCTCTCTACTTGTCCCGTGTTGTCTATTCAAATGCCTCGGCTCGGATATAGACTCGTCTTTGTGATGAGTCTTTAAATAAAATTTGGAATGGTGGTAGTGCATGCAACGAGGTAATCTAAATTACCTCTCTACTTGTCCCGTGTTGTCTATTCAAATGCCTCGGCTCGGATATAGACTCGTCTTTGTGATGAGTCTTTAAATAAAATTTGGAATGGTGGTAGTGCATGCAACGAGGTAATCTAAATTACCTCTCTACTTGTCCCGTGTTGTCTATTCAAATGCCTCGGCTCGGATATAGACTCGTCTTTGTGATGAGTCTTTAAATAAAATTTGGAATGGTGGTAGTGCATGCAACGAGGTAATCTAAATTACCTCTCTACTTGTCCCGTGTTGTCTATTCAAATGCCTCGGCTCGGATATAGACTCGTCTTTGTGATGAGTCTTTAAATAAAATTTGGAATGGTGGTAGTGCATGCAACGAGGTAATCTAAATTACCTCTCTACTTGTCCCGTGTTGTCTATTCAAATGCCTCGGCTCGGATATAGACTCGTCTTTGTGATGAGTCTTTAAATAAAATTTGGAATGGTGGTAGTGCATGCAACGAGGTAATCTAAATTACCTCTCTACTTGTCCCGTGTTGTCTATTCAAATGCCTCGGCTCGGATATAGACTCGTCTTTGTGATGAGTCTTTAAATAAAATTTGGAATGGTGGTAGTGCATGCAACGAGGTAATCTAAATTACCTCTCTACTTGTCCCGTGTTGTCTATTCAAATGCCTCGGCTCGGATATAGACTCGTCTTTGTGATGAGTCTTTAAATAAAATTTGGAATGGTGGTAGTGCATGCAACGAGGTAATCTAAATTACCTCTCTACTTGTCCCGTGTTGTCTATTCAAATGCCTCGGCTCGGATATAGACTCGTCTTTGTGATGAGTCTTTAAATAAAATTTGGAATGGTGGTAGTGCATGCAACGAGGTAATCTAAATTACCTCTCTACTTGTCCCGTGTTGTCTATTCAAATGCCTCGGCTCGGATATAGACTCGTCTTTGTGATGAGTCTTTAAATAAAATTTGGAATGGTGGTAGTGCATGCAACGAGGTAATCTAAATTACCTCTCTACTTGTCCCGTGTTGTCTATTCAAATGCCTCGGCTCGGATATAGACTCGTCTTTGTGATGAGTCTTTAAATAAAATTTGGAATGGTGGTAGTGCATGCAACGAGGTAATCTAAATTACCTCTCTACTTGTCCCGTGTTGTCTATTCAAATGCCTCGGCTCGGATATAGACTCGTCTTTGTGATGAGTCTTTAAATAAAATTTGGAATGGTGGTAGTGCATGCAACGAGGTAATCTAAATTACCTCTCTACTTGTCCCGTGTTGTCTATTCAAATGCCTCGGCTCGGATATAGACTCGTCTTTGTGATGAGTCTTTAAATAAAATTTGGAATGGTGGTAGTGCATGCAACGAGGTAATCTAAATTACCTCTCTACTTGTCCCGTGTTGTCTATTCAAATGCCTCGGCTCGGATATAGACTCGTCTTTGTGATGAGTCTTTAAATAAAATTTGGAATGGTGGTAGTGCATGCAACGAGGTAATCTAAATTACCTCTCTACTTGTCCCGTGTTGTCTATTCAAATGCCTCGGCTCGGATATAGACTCGTCTTTGTGATGAGTCTTTAAATAAAATTTGGAATGGTGGTAGTGCATGCAACGAGGTAATCTAAATTACCTCTCTACTTGTCCCGTGTTGTCTATTCAAATGCCTCGGCTCGGATATAGACTCGTCTTTGTGATGAGTCTTTAAATAAAATTTGGAATGGTGGTAGTGCATGCAACGAGGTAATCTAAATTACCTCTCTACTTGTCCCGTGTTGTCTATTCAAATGCCTCGGCTCGGATATAGACTCGTCTTTGTGATGAGTCTTTAAATAAAATTTGGAATGGTGGTAGTGCATGCAACGAGGTAATCTAAATTACCTCTCTACTTGTCCCGTGTTGTCTATTCAAATGCCTCGGCTCGGATATAGACTCGTCTTTGTGATGAGTCTTTAAATAAAATTTGGAATGGTGGTAGTGCATGCAACGAGGTAATCTAAATTACCTCTCTACTTGTCCCGTGTTGTCTATTCAAATGCCTCGGCTCGGATATAGACTCGTCTTTGTGATGAGTCTTTAAATAAAATTTGGAATGGTGGTAGTGCATGCAACGAGGTAATCTAAATTACCTCTCTACTTGTCCCGTGTTGTCTATTCAAATGCCTCGGCTCGGATATAGACTCGTCTTTGTGATGAGTCTTTAAATAAAATTTGGAATGGTGGTAGTGCATGCAACGAGGTAATCTAAATTACCTCTCTACTTGTCCCGTGTTGTCTATTCAAATGCCTCGGCTCGGATATAGACTCGTCTTTGTGATGAGTCTTTAAATAAAATTTGGAATGGTGGTAGTGCATGCAACGAGGTAATCTAAATTACCTCTCTACTTGTCCCGTGTTGTCTATTCAAATGCCTCGGCTCGGATATAGACTCGTCTTTGTGATGAGTCTTTAAATAAAATTTGGAATGGTGGTAGTGCATGCAACGAGGTAATCTAAATTACCTCTCTACTTGTCCCGTGTTGTCTATTCAAATGCCTCGGCTCGGATATAGACTCGTCTTTGTGATGAGTCTTTAAATAAAATTTGGAATGGTGGTAGTGCATGCAACGAGGTAATCTAAATTACCTCTCTACTTGTCCCGTGTTGTCTATTCAAATGCCTCGGCTCGGATATAGACTCGTCTTTGTGATGAGTCTTTAAATAAAATTTGGAATGGTGGTAGTGCATGCAACGAGGTAATCTAAATTACCTCTCTACTTGTCCCGTGTTGTCTATTCAAATGCCTCGGCTCGGATATAGACTCGTCTTTGTGATGAGTCTTTAAATAAAATTTGGAATGGTGGTAGTGCATGCAACGAGGTAATCTAAATTACCTCTCTACTTGTCCCGTGTTGTCTATTCAAATGCCTCGGCTCGGATATAGACTCGTCTTTGTGATGAGTCTTTAAATAAAATTTGGAATGGTGGTTGTGCATGCAACGAGGTAATCTAAATTACCTCTCTACTTGTCCCGTGTTGTCTATTCAAATGCCTCGGCTCGGATATAGACTCGTCTTTGTGATGAGTCTTTAAATAAAATTTGGAATGGTGGTAGTCACTACAGGAAATGTGGGTATTAATAGCATCAAAAGATAGCGTTTTTGATGTTTATGCTATCTTTGAGTGAACCGTGTATTAAAGATAGCGTTTGGTTATTTGTAAACGCTATCAATGGTTTAAGCGGGATCAAAAATTCACGCGGCCAAAATTTTTTAGTTAACCCGCTATTGAATAAGTTAAGAGGGAACAAAAAAAAAAAAGAAATTTGACCTAAGACATAAAAAAGAACAAAAAAGTTATTCACTTTCCCTTTTCTCTAAGGGAAAACTCGACACTTTCCCTTTCTCTCTAAGCTCAAAATCGATTTCGCTCTATCTCTCTTGATTCCCCTCTCTCTTTCACTCGATTTCTCAGTCTCAATTGAATCCCTCGATTTTGCACTCTTTCTCACTCGATTTTCGATTTCTCAGTCTTGATTTCTCTCTACCTCAATCGCTTACAATCGCCACTCGATTTCTCACTCCCTCTCTCGATTAGTTGGTCTCTCCCTCGATTTGTCACTCTATCTCACGAGATACCTCAGCAACCCGAAACCCTAATCTAAGGAGTTCATAAGTTTAGATGGTGGGTAATTATCTTTCGATTAGATCTTATAATTTCGCTTTCAATCTCGGTATTTTTCTTTGATCTCTTTGTCGATTTTGTTGTATTCTTAAGCGTTTTCATACCAACCTGTGTAAATCGTATTCGTATTGGTTTATGCTTTCGTTTATTTTCCATTAGAAATTTAAGTTTTAGCTAGCAAATGAACTTGTGTATTCGTTTGTTTTAAGATTATTGTTTCGATACTAATCCAAGATTTTTTTCAATTTACAGGTCTGTGAAACATTCAGTTAAAGGTAATCCAATTGCTGTTCTTTTGGTACTCTGTTGTTTCTGTACTTTTGTTCTAGTTATTTGAGTGTCTATATCCTTTGAATTGTGGTGGAGCTGTGGTCGTATTGGTGATATGGAGAAGAAATGGGTTTTATCTTTATTGCAGGAAGTGGAGATGTGATTGCCCGCTCATCACAACCTTTATTTGGTTTGATGATGAACATGAGGAGGTATATCAAAGTTATTTTATGACCAGATTTTTTCATGATAATTTAGTTTCTTATTTGGGTAGGAGAAAAAGATACTCGCTTGTTTCATATGTGCAAGGTGGTTAAATATTGATATGGAGAAGTCATGGGTTTGCCACACAATCACTCTAATAAGAACCTGTCTTCTTTCGTTTTTCTTGGTTTAAGAATCAAAGTTTTGGTAGGGAACACTGGTTCCTCTTTACCCTTTGCTCTCCCTAATCACAATTGTAACATCTCAAGTATTATTAGTCCCAAAAAAAGACACTTGGTTCTGCGTCACACAAGAAGACTTCCTTTGTTGTTAAGGCTGCTTCAACTCCACCTGTCAAGGTACATGACATTCTCTAGTCTCTCATATATACCTCTCTCTGTGCATTGTAATAGTTAATCAGATCCTGATTTTGTGTGTTTTGGTTTTTCAGCAAGGAGCAAACAGACCATTGTGGTTTGCATCCTCTCAGAGTCTCACTTACTTAGATGGTAGGTAATCTTTAAAACAAGTTTTGGATCTTTGATTGCTTTACGAACTTAATGATGTTCAATAGTGAAGATGTTGTGATTCTTGCAGCTTACCTGGAGACTATGGATTCGACCCACTTGGTCTTTCAGACCCAGAAGGTACTGGAGGATTCATTGAGCCGAGATGGCTAGCATACGGAGAGATCATCAACGTACTGGCGGATCCCGTCAACAACAACGTCTTGACCAGCCTCAAGTTCCACTGAGATGATCATCCATCTCATGTGTTTTATGTCTCTTTGTATCCTAAATCTTTCTATCTCTTGCTACCATTGGCTTCTTCGTATTGTAACACCCTGTGTAAACATATTCTTGTTTTGTAAGAAATGACAATGTCAATGGCCAAAAGAAAAACTTTTAGGATTAATATTATCTCTTGCCAAAAATATAATTAATTATTTGGAAAAAAATTTAATTGGAAAAAATTGAATTAATTATTTTAAGGTATGTACTTTAGGTTTCAGTTAAATGATTTTAAAGATTTTTAAGATTTTTAAAATGATTTTGAATTTTGTAAAAGAAAAGTTAAAAAAAAAAAGGAATATAACAAATATAACCAAATATCTCAAAAGACATAAATATTTAATTATAATATTAATAATTACAAAAATAATAACAAAGTTATATTTTAAGAGTTTAGGGTATAGAGTTTAGGGTTTAGGGTATGAAATGTATGGTTTAGGTTTTGGATTATATTTGTTTGAAATAGTAATAATATTAATTATAACAAATAATAACATAAATAAAATTCATTTTAAAATAGTTTAGGGTTTAGGGTTTAGGGTTTAGGGTTTAGGGTTTAGGGTTAGGGTTTAGGGTTCAATGTTTTAAATAGTAGCTAATATTAATGATTAAAGTATACTATTATAACATAAATGAATTCTATCATTTTTAATTATAACATCATTAATGTGTTTCAACAATATGATTTACACAATAAGAAGATTAGTGTACATGTATTCTAAGGCAATCATATGTGTTACCTTCAAATTTCTAAAAACGTTGCAAAATATTTTTTTTAAATTGCGAAAAAATTATCTAATCATGTAATAACTCATAAACATATTAGTTCATCAATATATAATTTTTAAATTAATAATAGTAAAAACACATTTTTATGCCTATAGACAAAATAAGCCAATCATAATGTTTCCCTCGGATTGCTGATGTGGCAAGATCTCAGCCATTCATCGGATCTAATACTTGATCAATTTACTCAATCCAATCATAATATTTCACTCGGATACATGACGTGGCGACATCTCAGCCTTTCAAAGGCTTTGGCGGCTGCATGTTTAAGGTAATCTCATCCGTTCATCGCTCAACAAAGGCTTTGGTGAGATTTTTTTTTTTTTTTTTTTTTTGGGGCGGCTAAAGGCGAGATTCTCTTCAACCTTTCATCCTTTCCTGACATCGACTGAGACAAAATTCACAAGAAAATTAATTCAGATTAGGTATTCTCTTTGGGCTAAAGGCGAGATTCTTCACTGCAAGATCGCATCCTCTACCGAGCTGATGAAACCATTAGCTCTTCTTCTCTCTGTTTCTGCAAATCAGACTCTTCCTCCAAGCTTCGCCTTTTTTTTTTGTGTTTCTATCCAATTTTGACAGATTTCGATTGGGAAAAGAAATTCCGAGCCATGTCTCCGGCTAAAGGTACGATTTTGAATCATTACTTGAGCAAGATGATTTTAATCCTTTAACTAGACTCAGTTTGATGGAAACAATATTAACTGGCTTCGATTAAAGTTTTCTAATCATGGTAGTGGTGGTGGTGTGTGTTTGAGATCATCATGGATCTGCAAGAACGCATCTTGTAGATCTAATGTGAATAAAGATGATTCCTTTTGCAAGAGATGTTCTTGTTGTGTGTTTGTCATAATTTCGATGAAAACTAAGACCCTAGTCTTTGGTTAGTTTGTGAGCCTGAGAAATCAGATGATGTAGTTATGTGGCTTATCTTGTCACTTGGAATGTGCTTTTAGAGAAAACAAAGTTGGTGTTACGAGTCTTGGTAATTTCATGAAGCTGATGGATGTTTTTGTTGTTACTCTTGTGCAAAGTTTCTCAAATTCTGGGTATAGTTTCTTTCCTTTATGCAAAAGTTCTGATCTATCTGTACTTAGCTTTGTATAACTCAATGTGTGTGTGTATTGATGAAGGTGTTGGAAAAAGCAGCTTGTGGCGCAAAAGAAGCAAGGCGGCGAGATGTATTGTGTTATAGGATTGGTTGAGTTATGAGACTACTCAATGGGACTGTTAGGTTTTGTGAATTACATGAGATTGTAAAAGCTGCTAAGTCTATGCTTGAAGATGAAGTTGGGAGACAGGGGCTGATGAAGAGGCATTCTATGTAGAGGAGATGTATTGGTCTTGTATTTTTATAAAAGTTTTTGTATATTGTTTTCATGTAATAATGATAATAAAATATTGTATTTTTATTTTTGATATGTAATTTTAATCCAAAAATCACAGTAAAGATGATTTAAATACAATAAATAATTAACAAAAATATAAATATAAAATAAAATATAAATTATTGAAATAATTAATCAAATAAATATTGTAGAAAAATCAAATCATGAAAATAGGTACACCCAATCATAACAATTATTACACGTTATTATAAATATTAATAATAGCAGTGTCATAACCGCTATCGTAGTTCAATTAACTATAGCACAACAAAAAACCGCTATCAAAAGTGTCCGACTTTCTATAACGGGCGATGTCAGAGCGCTTAAGGAAACGCTATGGTAGATGAATAATTGCGTTTTTCGGCCGCTATCAATACCCACATTTCCTGTAGTGAGTGCATGCAACGAGGTAATCTAAATTACCTCTCTACTTGTCCCGTGTTGTCTATTCAAATGCCTCGGCTCGGATATAGACTCGTCTTTGTGATGAGTCTTTAAATAAAATTTGGAATGGTGGTAGTGCATGCAACGAGGTAATCTAAATTACCTCTCTACTTGTCTCGTGTTGTCTATTCAAATGCCTCGGCTCGGATATAGACTCGTCTTTGTGATGAGTCTTTAAATAAAATTTGGAATGGTGGTAGTGCATGCAACGAGGTAATCTAAATTACCTCTCTACTTGTCCCGTGTTGTCTATTCAAATGCCTCGGCTCGGATATAGACTCGTCTTTGTGATGAGTCTTTAAATAAAATTTGGAATGGTGGTAGTGCATGCAACGAGGTAATCTAAATTACCTCTCTACTTGTCGCGTGTTGTCTATTCAAATGCCTCGGCTCGGATATAGACTCGTCTTTGTGATGAGTCTTTAAATAAAATTTGGAATGGTGGTAGTGCAATTACCTCTCTACTTGTCCTGTGTTGTCTATTCAAATGCCTCGGCTCGGATATAGACTCGTCTCTGTGATGAGTCTTTAAATAAAATTTGGAATGGTGGTAGTGCATGCAACGAGGTAATCTAAATTACCTCTCTACTTGTCCCGTGTTGTCTATTCAAATGTCTCGGCTCGGATATAGACTCGTCTTTGTGATGAGTCTTTAAATAAAATTTGGAATGGTGGTAGTGCATGCAACGAGGTAATCTAAATTACCTCTCTACTTGTCCCGTGTTGTCTATTCAAATGCCTCGGCTCGGATATAGACTCATCTTTGTGATGAGTCTTTAAATAAAATTTGGAATGGTGGTAGTGCATGCAACGAGGTAATTTAAATTACCTCTCTACTTGTCCCGTGTTGTCTATTCAAATGCCTCGGCTCGGATATAGACTCGTCTTTGTGATGAGTCTTTAAATAAAATTTGGAATGGTGGTAGTGCAATTACCTCTCTACTTGTCCCGTGTTGTCTATTCAAATGCCTCGGCTCGGATATAGACTCGTCTTTGTGATGAGTCTTTAAATAAAATTTGGAATGGTGGTAGTGCATGCAACGAGGTAATCAAAATTACCTCTCTACTTGTCCCGTGTTGTCTATTCAAATGCCTCGGCTCGGATATAGACTCGTCTTTGTGATGAGTCTTTAAATAAAATTTGGAATGGTGGTAGTGCATGCAACGAGGTAATCTAAATTACCTCTCTAATTGTCCCGTGTTGTCTATTCAAATGCCTCGGCTCGGATATAGACTCGTCTTTGTGATGAGTCTTTAAATAAAATTTGGAATGGTGGTAGTGCATGCAACGAGGTAATCAAAAATTACCTCTCTACTTGTCCCGTGTTGTCTATTCAAATGCCTCGGCTCGGATATAGACTCGTCTTTGTGATGAGTCTTTAAATAAAATTTGGAATGGTGGTAGTGCAATTACCTCTCTACTTGTCCTGTGTTGTCTATTCAAATGCCTCGGCTCGGATATAGACTCGTCTTTGTGATGAGTCTTTAAATAAAATTTGGAATGGTGGTAGTGCATGCAACGAGGTAATCTAAATTACCTCTCTACTTGTCCCGTGTTGTCTATTCAAATGCCTCGGCTCGGATTTAAACTCGTCTTTGTGATGAGTCTTTAAATAAAATTTGGAATGGTGGTAGTGCATGCAACGAGGTAATCTAAATTACCTCTCTACTTGACCCGTGTTGTCTATTCAAATGCCTCGGCTCGGATATAGACTCGTCTTTGTGATGAGTCTTTAAATAAAATTTGGAATGGTGGTAGTGCATGCAACGAGGTAATCTAAATTACCTCTCTACTTGTCCCGTGTTGTCTATTCAAATGCCTCGGCTCGGATTTAAACTCGTCTTTGTGATGAGTCTTTAAATAAAATTTGGAATGGTGGTAGTGCATGCAACGAGGTAATTTAAATTACCTCTCTACTTGTCCCGTGTTGTCTATTCAAATGCCTCGGCTCGGATATAGACTCGTCTTTGTGATGAGTCTTTAAATAAAATTTGGAATGGTGGTAGTGCAATTACTGTTATAAATCACATATTGGATGGACTCCATAACCGTGGGCCTAATCCATATTCTAGAAGGCCCATGTCCATGTTCTGTAAGGCCCATGCCCATGTTCTAGAAGAATCTCCTTATGACGGTCTATATTGTACTTAGTGGGCTTTTGGGCTTTAGGGTTTACTAGCCCAATGAGGATTTGTCTCCTCTCATCATGTATATATATGTATCGAACCTCATTCATTAATCAATACAACAAAGAGTTTTATAACACGTTATCAGCACGACTTGCTCTTAACGAAAACCCTAAAAACCCTAAACCTAAAGTTGCCGAGTTCGTCCACCGCCTGAAGCTACCAACCGCCGACTGCTTGCTTTGCTCCTTGATCGGCGATCTCCTCCTAGCTTCATACGTTCGTGATAAGCTTGATAACCGAGGTCTTTAGCTCCCGGTTCTAATCCATAAAACCCCAAAAGGTGAAAAGTA